AATCTCTTCTCATTGTACTCTCATTTTCATCATAAGTCAGTGGTTGCAGAGGTCTTAGACTGTATTGTATTCTACTGGTCTATTTTACATGGATATATCAGTCTTAATTCCTGATTCTTTTTATTTACCTAAAAAGTAGAGATATAGGAAATAGTTCTTCCTGCTGCTGGTTCACTCCCGATTGCTTTGCTGAGAGTCCCTCAGGGGTTGCAAGGACCCACGCACAGGAGCTATCAATTGGCTCTCTTGGTCTGAGCACTGGCCGTAAGCCAGGCCACAGGCAGAGCCAGGATGTGCAAGGAAACAGATACGGACTGTGGGATTCCACAGGGCCTCCACCGGCAGAGGACCATCTGATTATGGCACCTTAAAACCACTGCTGCAACTTTGGAAAAGGTTACATTGAACTATTAATGAACATCCTCCTATAGAACATTTTTACAATTCTAAATGTGCTAATTGTTCAACACAGTGAATCTCAATTTTGGATTTTTTTTCCAATGATTTGCTGTCTTCAGTGTAGCAGTACTGCACAATGGTCCTACCTTATATTAATTCTTAATTAATTTTTTTGAATGACAGTACTGTAATTCCTATAATTTTTTTGTATAGAAGACCTAAAAAAACTCCATGACTCTAAAAATTAATAAAGCAGCAATGTAACAGATCTAAGGAAAGTATATGCAACAACTAGAAAAATAAAAACTTAGGACTATATTGTATTTTAAAAATATTTTCTGCAACTACATGGCTTTTACAAAGTTCTGCTCAATCTGAAAATAATTTTCAAAATAAATTTGTTCTTAGGTTTTCCCCTAAATTTCCTCTATAATTTATTTTCAGTGTAATATGGGGAAACAATGTAAAGATGTATTTACTGGCAGTCATTGTGGTGGGAACATACATTCCCCCAAAAATGAACATAAGTACTAAATTATTTGGAATAGAATTTAATACCTTTTAAGACAAATTAAGGAGTTACATTAACCACTTACTGAGTCTGCATACCAATGATAATTAGCTACTAACTTATCATCTTGGAATGATGTAACATTTATAAAGGTTTATAACATTTCAAGATTTAAATGACTGGAGCCAGTGTTGCAGCATGGTGGTTAAGGCAGCACCCACAACACTGTTATCCTGTAGCAGCGTGCTCCTTCCAGTTAGGGCTGCTCTGCTTCCAGTCTGACTCCTTGCTAAGGCCCCCGGGAAGGCAGGAGCACATGGGAAGGCCCCGACAAGGCTCCGCGTGGCCCTGACTCAGCCCCAGCCATTGAAGTTCTTTGGGAAGCAAACCAGTGGGCAGAAAGGTTTGTATTTCTCTCTCCCTTTTTGTCACTGCACTTTTCAAAACACAAAATTTAACAGGACATAAATTATCATAGTCCAGTTTAATCCAGTTATGTTTAGTTCTCCATATGTTCTAATGTCCTTTTAATGCCCCAGAAAATATTTTAGTTTACCTATAATTATTCAAATTTTGTCTTCTAAATAAATCTTCAAATGGGACTTGCTTCAAGTCCCATTGTAGCAAGTATCTAATATTCTTATTTTATTTGATGTGATTTAAATTCTTAATTTTTGCAAAAATAACTGTAGTAATACCATTTTCTAAATAGAAAGGAAAATTTAGACCTGGGTATCAACCTGCAGAATGGCATAAAACTGCACAAGGAAAGAATATATATATCTTTTCAAATCAGCCCATGTGTGAGTTATATTTCAAAGATGGGGAATCTTCCAGGAAACTGCTGTTCAACTGGCTGCACTTTCCCTACAAGAAACAGCAACTCATTTGTCTGTAGTTAGTTTCTCCCAAATGGGAAATTTCAATTTGCACACAAGGTTTTACAATTCGTTTTGTAAGAAAAAAAAATGTTGGAACACATAATCCTAAACACCAAATCCACACTGTATTGGATGCCCAGGTATGGCACCTGCTGCCCTTGTGCACACCTTCCACCTGTGCAGGCGCTGCGCATGATGGGCCCCTGCTAGGCTCCAAGTGAGAAGGCTCCCTAGGAAGCAGCACTGTGCTCCTAACAAACCCGCTGCTGTTCGCCAGGCTCTCTGGCACTTTTGCTCAGGGCAAGGAGCTGAGAGCTGAACTGCCACCATCTAGCACAAGAGGCAGGAAAATCCTAAGGAAATAGCAAGTTAAAAGAGTTAGGCTGTAAAGTGTAAGAGGAAGGCAGAGAAAAATGGAAAGGAAAGGAAAAGAGAGAAGAGGAGAGGGGAAGGGAGGGGGGAGGGGAGGGAGGAGAGGAGAGGAGAGGAGAGGAGAGGAGAGGAGAGGAGAGGAGAGGAGAGGAGAGGAGAGTGGAAGGGAGGGGAAGAGAGGGGAGGGGAGGGCAGGGGAGGGGAGAGGAGATGGATAATACAAGCCTTCCTTGTGTGCACAGTCCATCTAAACAGGCTCACACCGATACCCAGAGGCTGCCGGGACAGGATTCTTGTGCATGCTCCGTTACTATTTGTTATTTTTGTCTTTCTCAGTTTCTGTCACAAACCTGTGATAAAGTTGGTATGCAAACATTGGGCTCCTCAATTAGATTCTGAGAATGCACACGCTCAAAACCACACTTGGTTGAATACAGAATATTCTCAGTAAACACATTCACTCAGAGTATGTTAAATGGCACATGCACACACGCACTTGGTTAAATGTCAAAAGATCTGAGCAGGCAGGCAGACCTGCCACTGAACCAATCTGTTTTTCCTCTTTAACATGTTATTTTCTCTTCCACAACAAACTGGCAAAGAGAAAAGCTTTCAAAAAATAAGTTGAAACATTTGAAAGGCAGAACATGAAATGATCAATCTTCCAGCTCATGGTTTGTTCCATAGATGGCCACATTCCTGGGACTGGGCCTAGGGTGAAGGCAGGAGCCAGGCCTTCCAGATGTGCTGCAGGGTCCAAGCAGTCATCGTCATCTGCTGCTTTTCCAGGGGTGTCAGCAGGCGCAGGCAGCCAGGACTCAGGGACCCTAGCGAGGGATGCCAGTGTCCCCGCGGGAGCATTAATTGCTATTGCACAAATCTGGTTCCAAAAATGTGTTTCAAAACATTTTCAAGGTTAAAGCAAAACGAGCCTGTTTAGACTAACCTGTGCAACGTGGTACATTTGCTCTAACACCACATGATATGGTCTAACCTGCTCCATGTGGCATGCTCGCTCTAACACCACATGATATGGTCTAACCTGCTCCACGTGGCGTGCTCGCTCCAACACCACATGATATGGTCTAACCTGCACACTGTGGTATGCTCGCTCTAACACCACATGATATGGTCTAACCTGCACACTGTGGCATGCTCGCTCTAACACCACATGATATGGTCTAACCTGCTCACCATGGCACGCTCTAACTCTGAGTGATATAGACTAACCCATTCACCGTGAGACACTGGCTCCAACACCATGTGATAATGACTAATTTACATTATTTTCATCAGGCCAGAGAAGTACGAGATTAAATTATTCTAAGCAAAATCATGGTCTTGGTATATATAAATCTGCTGGCTTTTTTAATCCCTGGAGTCCATAGTTTATATAAAATCATACTGAAAAAACCTTGCATATATTTATTTAAAATAAAACGTACATAAAATTCTATTACACAACTGAACAGCTTAAAAAAAAAGTCTTTAACCAAACATTGGTCCTTTAAGGTCATTTCCTAATACCCTATTATTAATCAAATCATTAACATCATTTAGAAGAGTTACAACGCATATTGACAACAACGTTTCAAGCTCGGAAGCTCGAAAGGAGGGGAAGAAGCCCATTACTTTGTGGGAAGACAACTGTGAACCTCTTTTAAACAACAGAGTGAAAATAGTGCATGGCTCCCATCCTGGTACACAACTGTACGCTTCACCAGCTGTACACAGTTTAGAACCTCAAACGTAATACTGAAGCAAGTAAATAGGAAGATGAAACTTCTCAGCTTCGTTGCCCTATGCCTCTAGGCCCCCCATTTCTCTTCAGCAAGCAGTGTTCCGGTGTGATGTTTGTGTCACCACAAGGTTCGTGAGCCATTGCTCAGTGCCCGAGGTGAGGACACCCGGAGGTAGTCCCGTCGGGAGGTGACTGACCCTTTGACCTGTCTGCTGTGTGAAGACACAGCAACAGAAGTGCCTACCAGCAAGCCAGGCTGTAGTCTTATCTCACTCCGCTGGCCAGCACCTGCTTGGGGACTTACAGGATTTTAGAACCTTGAGAAATGAAAATCTGTTGTTTATAAAGTGCTCAGTCCGTGACACATTTGCTACAGCAACCCTAGCAAGCTTGGACATTTGTCATTTTTAGAGCAGTTTGTCCTAACATCGTGCAGTGATGACTGACGTGGCCCTTTTCCCAAACCTTGAATGTGATTAATTCCATCTTCACAATAGATCCAGGATGCACCAGTTCTGCCAGCTTCGCTGCTGTCATCATTATCGGCTCAGTTCCTTACACTAATATTTAATCCTTTTTTAAAAAAAATAATTTTTATTTCGGATGGTTTTTACACAGTTGTCTAGGGTGCAAAGGGTCAGGGCTACAGGAAGGTGGGTGAGACCATGATTTCCACATTCTTTTTTTTTTTTTTAGCTTCCTGCATCTGGGGCCAGGAGGGGAGGATAAGGAGATGTCACACCCAGCCTCCCAAACGCCTCCGTTTCCCTGGATGGAGGCTAGCCACCCGACACCACCCAGGGTCCCGGATGTGGGGTGTGATTCAAGGGTCCTGCTCAACAGGTTTTGACAGTTCAACAGTTCTGAATTACTGCTGATCTCACCACTCCAAGCATGATGAAATCTTTCCAGAATCCACTGGCTGACACAGTCCACCTTAGAGTCTCCGTTTGCCCAGATATTCACTGCCAACATTGGGGTAGTTGATTGATTTGTTCTGTCCTCCATCCTCTGTTGTGGTACCAGGTGTCCTCTGCAGGCTCCAGTGTACTGCCATATCTTCCATGTGCATCTGGATATGCTGTCCACTGCTCCATCTGAGCCACTGAGGAGGCCCAGCTCTGACACATGCACTCCACAGTGGACCATGGGACCTGTGTTTCTCTCCACCGTTGGTTCTGAGTCCAGCAGCTCAGCTGGGTGGATTCCCCCACAGACTTCATCTGAGGTCATCCCAGACCTGATTCTTGTTCATTACACTAACGTTTAATTCTAGGTGTTTATTCTTTCACTTGTTATTCATCGTCTCGTGTCCTCATGTAACAAGGACTCCGGTCACTGCCCTGGGTCCTGTGCTCCACAAAAGAGCCTCCCGTCAGCCTTGAACAAGCAGGGTCTCACCCCCTCCTGACCCCTACTCTGGTGCTGGACTGAACACTGGGTAAACAGGTGTTTTTCACAACGGGATTCCAGGTCTCTGCTTCTAAACCTCACTAATGTGCCATTAAGAATATTCTGATGATAGGTCACCATTCAACAAGCGATTTCTGGCAAATCACTTCACAGTTCAGCGACTCTGCCATATAAGCACTCCATTTTTCCTCTCTACTTCACTGACCAAGATGTTTTGGTCTTTACTTGCCTGAAAATGACAGCATTGATCTGACCTTCATGTATTCTGCCTTCATGTTTTGGTCAGGTGTATGTTAACCAGGGCTGTAATGATAAAAGCTGTCCTCTGAATACACATAGATGTATGACTGAAAGATATGCAACAAGCCTAAATGTAACAATACACGGTAACAACAAGGTGTTCCTGTCTAAACGCATAGTAAATGAGAGTATTCGTGGGCCAAGGCTTCCCAACAGCACACTGCTGGCTGGTACAGCTCTTCCAGCAGACACCAGGCAGCCAACTCTCCAGTTCCCACAAAGTCTGCAGCCACTGCCACTCCCCTACGGGACAGCAGCTTCTGGGAACCACGGCTGCAGGAGCCAGAAGAGCATCGCAATGCAACTTAACTATCAGAACAGGTGGGGGCTGCAGCACTGAATCCCAGCGGACACCTGAGAGATAGCCATCATGAAGGGACATTTTACAATGCGCTGGAAATTACGTGATTTGCAGTTATTTAAAATAATGAATTATGATCCATTAGCGGAAAGCATGTTGCAAGTTATAGGAAAGGGAAGTACATTAATGGTCAGTCAGTGATGTTTTTCTAAACCCCAACATGGCCATTCTGGAACAGAATTCATCTCATATGGCAAGACTTTTTTTTCCCCCGAGCAATGTTACAAGTTCCAGAAAATCATCTTGACAAATATATGGAAAAATCTGAATAAAAAGAAATCAGAGCTTTTAAGCAAATGTAAACATTTTCAAAATTCAACTTGTGACTCTTTTCATCACCATTCCTCAGATAATACCTAGACAATTCCAAGGACTGGTCACCTGCTCTCTCACTGTGTCCCACCTCCTCTCAGCCTGGCAAGAACGCAGGTGGTATTAGCTCTGACCCGTCTCAAAACCTGTGTGTGCTTTCCTATTGCCTAAGCCACATGTATTATCTCATATCCCTAAAATAGTCCCCAAGGCAAAGATCTCAGGTAAATGGCATTTTCACAAGGTCGCTCACATACCCTGGAGCTGGGCAGCAGCGTGCCTTAGGACCAGCGACAACCGTTTCTGAGCATTTGAAATTCTGGGATGCATCAACGCAAGTAGCGCAGCTGTAACGCCCAAACCTCTTATTCATTCCCTTGGTACAACACTTTCAGACACAATCTAACACTTCGCTCCTACTCGGTGAAGAATTATGTCAAAATCATTTCCATTGTCAAAACCCGACATTTCCTCAAAACTTTTTTCCCCCCGATTTTTGTCTTTTCTTTTCCAGAATTTTCTTATATAACCGAGGATAAAACATTACGCCGTGCTTAGGAGGAGGACTGTGGTACAAGATATTTCTCAGGAAGTTTCTGTAAACTTGACCTACCCAGGCCAGCCGTTTTCCAAAACTCGTTGCTCGCTTAAGTAATTTAATAACCTATCAGAAACCACCGTCCCAGAGATCGACACTTTAGGCAGCAGTACAGTAAAACTAATAAAAACGCTTCCACACCTACAGCTTAGAAGCCCCTACCCCACTAAAACTTACACGCCCCGCCCCGGGCGCCGGAGTTAAGCCTACCCGAGCTGTTTTCGCAGCCTGGCGCAAACCCCGCGCCAATGAGGCGCGCCCGCACTCGGCGCCCGGGTCCCCATGGCTACCGCCACAGCCACGCGGCGCTCGGGCGTGGGGGACGGGAGGAGGCGGCCAGTCCACCTCGCCCAGGCCGCGCGGGGGCAGCGAGCGGAGGGAAAAGGCCTCGCTCCTCCCGGCGACAGCCAGGCCGCGTTGGAGACCTAACACCAGTGTCGCGAGGAGTGTTCCTCCCGCGTCACTCGCGCAAAATCAGACTGCTTCCATAGGCGCACCGCCAAAGACGTCGCCGCCTCCCCGGGGCCTGGCGTCCGGAGCCGGGCCCTGGCCTCCCGTGCCAGCCCACCGCCCCGCACGCCTCCCTGGGCCTGGCCTCCGGAGCCGGGCCTGGCCTCCCGTGCCAGCCCACCGCCCCGCACGCCTCCCTGGGCCTGGCCTCCGGAGCCGGGCCTGGCCTCCCGCGCTCGCCAGCCTCCCTGGGCACTGGCCTCCCGCCCTCCCGCGCAGACGCCGCCTCCCCGGGCCTGACCTCCAGAGCCGGGCCTGGCCTCCCGCCCCTGCCCGCCGCCCCGGACCTCGCCTCCGGAGCCGGGCCCCGACCTCCCGCCGTCCCGCACGCCTCCCTCCCTTCCTCCCTCCGCGCTTCCTCCCGCAAGCCCCGCCTCGGCCCGACCGCGCGCCCGCGCAGCAGCAGCAGCCGGGAAAGCGCGGTGCCCCGCCCCGGCGCCGTCCGGCCCGTTCCCAACGGGGCGCAGGGCAGACGCCCTAGAAGGTGGACTACGGCGCTCCCCCACCACCCACCCACCCGCACGGCTGCCCCGCAGAGCTCGCCAGCCGCCCGCCCCTGTCCCACGGCCGTCCCCGCGCGCCCGCGCTCACGCAGCCGGGGGACGCGCGCTCGCCCCGCCCCGGGCCCGGGCGGAGAGCCGGCGGCGTGCACGGCGTGAGGGCCGCGCGACCGCCTCCCGCGTTCTCCCCAACACCCCGCACCCCCAGTTCCTACACTGTTGCTACTTTGTGTGTGTGTGGGGGGGGTGTGTGGAGCGGGGGTGGCCTTCCAGCTTTCTCTCTCTGCAGCTCGCCCCCCGCGCGGCTGGCGGGAAGGCCCGGCGCCCGGAGAGCCGGCAGTGCGCGCGGCCCGGAGCGCGCGGCCGTCGGGGGCTCGCGGCCTCGCTCTCCCCTCCCTCCCTCCCTCCCTTCCTCTCGGCTGTAACTTGGCTGGCGAGGAAGAGGAGGAGGAGGAGGAGGAGGAGGCGCCGGCGGAGTCGGAGGGCGGGCCCTGGGAGGAGGGAGCTCCGGAGTTGTGGAGACTCTAGTGACGGGGACAAGTCGCAGCCCGCGCCGCTCGTGGCTCGCTCTCTCGCGCTCTCCTCTCACGCACGCACACACACACACACACACACCTACTCCGCCCCAACCCGCGCCTCTCCGGCTCGCTCTCCGGCTCTCGGCGCGGCGGCGGGGGGCACCCCGGGGGTACCCTCGCCCTCCCGGTGGCTGGTGGCCGGCCGGCCGGCCGGGCGGGCTCGGGATGTGGCGCCTGGTACCCCCGAAGCTCGGTCGCCTGTCCCGCTCGCTCAAGCTGGCGGCGCTGGGCAGCCTGTTGGTGCTGATGGTGCTGCACTCGCCGTCGCTGCTCGCCTCCTGGCAGCGCAACGAGCTCACCGACCGGCGCTTCCTGCAGCTCAATAAGTGTCCGGCGTGTTTCGGCACGAGCTGGTGCCGCCGCTTCCTCAACGGGCAGGTGGTGTTCGAGGCTTGGGGCCGCCTGCGACTGCTGGACTTCCTCAACGTGAAGAACGTCTACTTCGCCCAGTACGGCGAACCCCGCGAGGGCGGCCGCCGCCGAGTGGTGCTCAAGCGCCTGGGTTCGCAGCGCGAACTGGCGCAGCTCGACCAGAGCATCTGCAAGCGGGCCACCGGGCGGCCCCGCTGCGACCTGCTCCAGGCCATGCCCCGCACCGAGTTCGCGCGCCTCAACGGCGACGTGCGCCTGCTCACGCCCGAGGCGGTGGAGGGCTGGTCGGACTTGGTGCACTGCCCCTCGCAGCGCCTGCTCGACCGCCTGGTGCGGCGCTACGCCGAGACCAAGGACTCGGGCAGCTTCCTGCTGCGCAACCTCAAGGACTCGGAGCGCATGCAGCTGCTGCTCACCCTGGCCTTCAACCCCGAGCCGCTGGTGCTACAGGTAGGCGCGGGGAGTTGGGGGAGGGCGGGCCGGGCCCAGGGAGTGTCGGGGGAAGGGCAAGGGGGGCGTCCTCCCGGACGAGGGGCTCAGCTCCCCGCTGCCACTTGGCACCCCGGCCGGCGGGACCAGGCAGGCAGACAGGCAGGCAGGCAGGCGTGGGAGAGTGGAAGGGGGTGGCTAGGCGACTCCGCGGCCCGTGCCCGAGTTGCAGTTAGGTGACCCCGCAGATGGAGAATCAGCTGTTGGCACCGAGACCCGGGCAACCTCTCGGGTTTGACTGCGGAGCCTTCAGCGCCAGAGGAGGGAGTGCGTCTCGCGGGCGGGCTTCCAAAATGTCTCTCCAGCGACTTTCCTTCCGCCCTGCTCGCTGGCTCCTGGCTCCTAACCTCCCGGGGCTCCCGCGCACCCGGGGCGCCAGCTGGGAGCTCCCCTGCTCCCGGAGGGTCCCACCGCACGCCGGCTCTTCCCCACTGCGCCCCGGGACCGGCCTCGCTTGGGCCCCAGCCTTTGTCTTGGCGTATCTACCTGGCACTGGTGCGGGCAGTTAATGCGAGAGGGGGCGGGTAGGGGTGCAAAGTGGAGGAGCTGAGGTCAGAGTGTGGCGCGGGAGTCCTGGAGAAGGTTAAATAAAAGCCCCGGGAGCCTCGCTTTGGGCGCTAAACTGCAGCGGGAGAGGAGGTGGTGGGTTTGGGGTTGGGGGCGTGGAGACTCAAGGCTAAGAGGGCCGGTGGGGTTCTGATCCTGTGGCTTGCCCCCAAACATCTGAAATGTTAGGCCAGGGCGAGAAGCTGGCGGGAGGGTCCCCCGAAGGGCGGTATTTGCCCTCCTCTGGCTGATGATTGAAAATAAGTGAGGCGTCTAAAGGGAGTAGCGTGGAGAGCTTTCACTGGAGCCTGGCAGAGGGAAAGGAAGGCGGAAACCCTTGCCGTAGTTACTGGTGTTTCTGCACACTCCTGTCCTGTTCCAGTGCGGGGTCCCGGCTCCCTCTTGGAAACTGCAGGGAAAGTTCCCCTGCGCGCTCCTCTGCCATACGGTCTCCTCCGGAGGGGGAGGAAATGACTTCAGCTTCACCACAAGTGATTTGGGTCTACTTCATGCCTTTTCTTCTCTGCCAAGAATGACACTGATGGCTGCGGGCGGGTGGACGGGGTGGTGTTTTGTTTTGTTTTGTTTGTTCAAAGTGCCGGAATAGAAAAGGTCAATTGTTGTTTATATTGTTTTCTTTTCTCACGCTCTGCACCCGTCACGCCAGCTAAAAGGAAGCACTTCATCAGTATTTTGCTCTGCGAATTTGAAGGTGTTGCTGCGCGAATGTAATGGGGGACTTTAAGGTGTAGACTGTATGTTGGGCACGAATGCAGGTCTTAAAAGTGGATTGGGGGGGTGAAAGTGGTGAAACTCACCTCAAAAGAATTTTGCTTGATTCATTTGCTCTGTAACTTGGCAGTCTTCCAATAGTGTGTGTGCTTGGGATACACACTAGTTGTTTTTTTTTCCCCCCCCCCAATTTAAGAAAATAGAATTTTTTTCTTCCTGGGTAAGGCAAAACTTGAGCAGCACCGCTTGCTGAAATAGACTGTCGGATCGTCCGGGACCCCCGAGTTAGCGATGGGGCTGGCTTCCTGGTCCTGGACACCTTGATGGGCTGTTGGAAGAGTTTTACCAGCTAGTTGTGAAGACTGATGTGCTGGAAACAACTCATATTTTAACAGCCTTGCATATTCAGTTTTGTGTCCCTGCGAATATACTGGGAGTTTGAGAAGCTTCGACACTTAATTCTGCTAAAATAAATCTGCTCTGTTCTCGAAACCCTTACTAACTTAGTTTGTTCATTTTGACTTTTCTTTGTAGTTGCTGTGTGTGTCATGTTCTCCCCTGACGTTCTGTGCTCATCCTTAAGGAGAGAGCGTTTTTGAACATCGGATGATTGGTTATTGCTTCCCCTTCGGTAACACCCTTTCAGGGTTGGCGGATGGATAGGTTGTAGGGATGTATGTGTGAGGAAGCCTACATCCACAGTGTAACATTTTGTGATGGCCTGTTTAATCCAGACAGTGCAGGCAGGGGCACTGAGACATACCCAAGTACGGTCCTTCCACTGTGTGTTATTTTTTTCTATTGAACAAGGAAGACGTTTTTAAAGCAGAGCTGCTGCTTGCTAGAGCCACCTGATGTTGGTGAACGCTCATGTGTTAAGTCTGAGCAGTGTGATTAAACGTTGGTGGATAGTGTAAAGCCACTGACAGAGAGAGGTCTCAGTTCTGCTATCAGGCACACGTGTGGCTCACTGAGCCATATCGTAATGGTCATGACTTTTGTAAAGCTAGGCAAGCTACATATTGAGTGTTTGTACAGGTTCCTGTTACACAAGCTTGTTTGGCCTTCATGATACCATGGAGAAATGGATTCTAATGGAAAGGCTCAGGTTTGGCTCGCTGTTTACACACACATATATATATTTGCTTCATATGTTTGAAAAATATGTGTAATGAAATGTGTGTGTGTTACAGCTTAAAATGGAACTCACTTTTTTTTCCAGAAGAGGGAGCTACTTATTGAATGTTTGGCCAGCTTGACGACATGCTAGATTTTTTTTTTTAATTTGCCCAAAAATTACCCAGGGAAGAGAAATATTTTGAACTTAGTTCATTAAGCTGTTCATAGAAAAAGTTACAAAAGAGTTAAACACGTTTCAAAAATTAGCACTCACAGTCTGCTTTGGTTAGATTCCTCAACACCTGAATGATACGTGCGTCTCTAACCTTCTCCTAATCTGACTTTAAGAAATAATAAACAATTGACATTTCAGTTGTGGCTCGAAAGGAGGTGGGGCGTTCCTGTAAGGGCTTGAACGAAGTGGCTGTGACAGACACACACTGCAACACTGCATGCAAGGCAGTATGGATTTGCAGGACAGATTTCCTGTTACGAAACGATACAGGAATATGACTGCATTGCTGGATAAATAGTCTTAGTTGCTGATAGCTTTAGCCCCAAGGAAAGTTGCTCTGCCACAGAATTACCTTCTAAAACTATCTTACAAAAATCAAGCAGTAGGACAATGACAGCAGTCGCTTCTACTCAGATACCTTTTCCTTTTTACGTTTCATTTCACCAAGATGTATATTTTGTATGCCGATTACACCATCCTCCCATCCAGAAAGTCACCGAGTGGGAGGGACTCTGCTGTTTTCCTGGTCAACTGCGTGTTGATGTTTGTACTTGCTTATTCTTGAATTCAGAGAGGGGAAGTGTGTACTGACTTGGCAACTAGTGCCTTGTGAAGCATGCTTGGAGTCCCCGTCACCTTAACAGTAGTGGTAATTTTGTCATTCATGTAATCATTAAGAGATGTTTTACACTTTTTTTTTTCCTTTTATTTGAAAAGCAGAGATGGGTCGTCCTCCCATGGTCAGGCTGAAGTAAGGAGCTGTGTGTGGATTTCTCAGCCATCACTGCTGTGCAGAGGCAGGAAGCCACGCTTGATGGGACTTCGGGCAGGCACTGGCAGTGTGGGAGACAGGAGGCCCTGGGAGTGGCTCAGCCGCTGCGCTGCGAGTCAGCCACTCAGGGATACATTTTTAAGCATAATTTCTGTAGCGATATATGTATTTTCAGAGCTCATGGCTGGGAAATAGTTTGTGAAGCGAACGATGCTGTGGCTCCTTTGTTCAGTTTGTCACTTTGAATGAATTGGCAAAACTGTTGTCAATGGGATCACCTTCCTCCTTGTTGAATTAGGAGCTTTCCTGCTTTAGCTCTCACATTCTGTTAAAGTTGCTTTCCCAGTTTGACTTGAACTGATGGTTTAGCCAAGTTCTTCTAGAAGGAGGTTGCAGAATGTTGGTCCAGGGGCCCTGCCACCTTGGGATGGGATGCGGATGGGATGGGATGGGATGGGATGGGATGCCAAGGCAGATAATCCCTCTCTTTGGATCCTGGCTTCCTCCCAAGTTTTTACCACATGAAATACCATTTAATGAAAAGAAAAACGAGGGAGTTTGTTTAAAAGAAAAAAAAAAAAACCATGGAGTTAAGGTTGTTAGACCATCCTGGTGGAGCAGTAGTTTCTAGAAGGGACCGTTCAGACTCTGTTTTGAAGCGTTTTCATTCATCGCCCGCTTTCTTCATTAGTTATTGCTTTAGTAACTGCATTCCTACATTTAGCCCTCAAAATACATTAAAGTGATTCTGCAGAGCACTTTTCACTTAACAGGTTTATAAGCTTTGGGGCTTTTTCTGTTTGATTACCTGAGATTTTATTGATAAACACTTGAATGTCTCTCATGTGGAAGAGTATTAAAATAATCCTGTGTTCCTCATGTGGAAAAGGAAAGAGGGAAATATAAATTTCCTGGATAGGCCTAGAACCAGTCACCCTGAAGAGAGCAGCACTGGTGGATCAGCTGCACAAAATCCTTGGCCATCTGATATCGTTTATGGGTTTATTCATGACTTTTGGCCGTTTACAATTATGTCCTTGGTATTTGTTTCTAGTTTGAGCTTTATTTTGTCCTCTCATTGCACGGGTTTCGCATATACGCACATGCTGGAGGAGAAAGCTTGTTCTCTGAGGAGAGGGTCTGTTTTCTGGACCTGGCAGGGCGGAGTTGTTGGTTTCCCACCTGAAGTCTTTGGCCTTCTCCGTCTGTTGCCAACGTCCTGGCTGCGTCTTCACTCTCAACTTGCTCCACTTTACTCATTACCTGTGTGTTCAATTTAAATGGTGCCACAGCAAAAATCCTGTGTTTTTCCTACAGGTATCATGGATTTCGTATTTAGTAAGTAGCCTTACAATGAAGACCTATCATTCCTGGCCTAAGCTGAGTGTAGTCACAGACTGTGGAACTCTTTAGATTTTGTAATCATGATCCAGGTTATGGATGATTGGTCAAAAATTATCTGTGAAGCATTTGAGAATGGAAAGACTCCCTTAGGCGAG